AGAAAACTATTTCTTTGGTTTGTCCTACCTGATTTCATGTGGTTATTTACTATATGTTTCTTTTTTTACAGATAAACAGAAACGCCAAATACAACATGTGTATTGTAACAGTTTGTGTATAAGTTACGGAATTTTGATGATATACCTACCTTAATTTTGAGTAGAGAATACTCATTAAACGATTATATATATATAATTATTGGATAGAATTTTCAGAACATCTTGACGAATCAAATGAAGCACTCTCCTTTCAACAGCCTTTTTGATCGCAACTACCCCATCCAAGTCCTCGTATAAGACCTGCGGTTTTAGGAAAGATAGTAAATTTTCGAATCGTCTTGCTCTGAAAGCTCAACACACACTTATCGATTGATTAGCATTTAAAAATCTGCATTGGACGCAATATGCATCTTTTAAATCTTTGTCTTTTACATCCACTTTGTGTATAAATTCTATATTCGATTCTTCTATTCTATATACCATTATTAACTATATGATTTTGTTAATGTGATTTTATATAGTTGTATTGAACTGATTGTGAAAGATTATAGAAACAAAATATGTCCTCCTATTCTCCCTTTTATGATTTTCTTTGAATTAATGAATTTTATTTATGTGTATTTGTTATTGTTAACTTCATTCTAGAATAATAAATTATAATTTTCAGAATTGGGATCGAGTTTGAAACAGTTGGCAAATAGTTAGTTACTTTGTAAATTTCCCAAGCAGACAAACTTTTTCGAAAACGCGTTTAAGCGCACAAAAAAAGACGAAAAATCTAGAAAAAGTGGGCGTGTTTGGATGACAATCGGGGTTCCCGACTGTGAGCGAAAAACGCCCATTTCTCCCCTTCTGGTGCGTTTACACGCGTTTTCAGCCAAAAACGCGTGTAAATGCATAAAAAAAGTGGTCGTTTTCTTCATACTCGAGAACCCTAATTATGATCTCTTCACTGGTAACGACTATGAGAAAAATGAGCACTTTTTCTCTTTTTTTTATGCATTTACACGCGTTTTTGGCTGAAAACGCGATTAAACGCACGAGAAGGGCGAAAAATGGGCGTTTTCCGCTCACAGTATGGAACCCCGATTGTCATCCAAACACGCACACTTTTTCTAGATTTCTCGTCTTTTTTTGTGCGCTTAAACGCGTTTTCGAAAAAGTTTGTCTGCTTAGGTTGTAGGTAATCAACGTGCACAATGTGCAATACTTCGCAGTAATTGGTCGCTTTTAATGGACACAGCTTTTTGATAGTTTTCCCTTCAAAAAATAGTAATATCGGATATTTATCCGGCCAAAACAGAAAAACTTTCGTTGATCTGGCAGAGCAGGTGACTCAACTTTTCAAAAGCATATTTGAATATCTTTTTTGTCAGATCCGCACGTTCTGCTTACCGGTCACCACCGTGCGGTTATGGGCATGCTCCTATAGAATAACGATTACAGCTACCGCAAACGATCGTGGTTGTTTGATCTAGAGTAACGAAAAGAAAGAAAATAGCGGTTTTAATACTTTTTATCAATTATTAGGAATCTAGCAAATAAAGAGATATTTTCTTTCCAAATAAGAAGTCTCATGTGCGGCACAATTTTTCCTCTCGGCGTGTCAATAGAAAGGAAAGATAACAGAAACACATGCATGTGCGAAAAGAGATATCCCCTTATTTGCTAGTTCTCTATTAACTTTACTTTTGCTTTCCTTTCTTACATTAAACTTATCTTTTTTGTTCTTTACATGTCGAACACACATACGCAAGAAACATTTTTTTAAGAAATAGGTATACGTGTTTCTACATGAAATTCGACGACTTTTTACATAGTATCGATGATTTTGGTCGTTATCAAAAGTTAAAACAATTCTTCATATGTCTCACGTACTTAATAACACCTGGCAAGTTTATTGAACGTTCATTCCTTTTTTCCTGAATAATCGCTTGTGTTTAATTTAGTTGTAGTTTATACTTGGTCATTTGCTGCTGCTACACCCTCATTCCGTTGTAAGCTATATGAAAATGATAACGTTTATGATACGAATGTGACAGTTCTATTCAATCGGAGTCAACCAGATGAAGCATATTGTAAAACACATATGAAAATATCAGTAAAAGAATGTCAACGATGTTACATGAAAACAAAATCCAGTAGAGGAACAGTAGAAATTGAAGCATGTGAAAACTATGTTTTTGATCGAACGTATCATGATTATACACTTGTCGAGGAAGTATGTATCGTCGAAATGTAATTAAACAAAATCAGACTACGTAAATGTAACTATTCTACTTTGTTTACTTGTTAGTGGTCCATGGTATGCGATCGAACTGTATTTCGTTCGGCTGTACAAAACGTATTTTTCTTCGGTTATATGGTTGGATCAATTTTCTTCGGAATCATGGCCGATAAGTAAGTTTTTCTTGTAATGGAAAAGAACTTTTCGAAATAAAACTTGCAGTTTCAAACCGTTTTTAACGAAATAGTTCGAATGGTGCTTAGTTAACACACTTGTCAACAAATGTTGTTATGCTAAGGTAAACGAAACTGTCGATTTGGTATAAAGTGTCTGAAGCCGTAGAGTAGGGATATGTCCGAAATTTTCAAAAAGATAACGAAGAAGGCGAAATTCTAATATAACATTTTGCTAACAAGTAGATACATATTTCAAACTTTTTCGTTGATTTTCATTTTTGATGAAAATCTCAGTAATTGTTCGACGTGACAATTCAAAAAAAAGTAAAGTGATTGAATAGGACAAAAAAAAATACATCATTCGACTCGATATTTGACACTGATACCGAATATGATCTTTCATTGCGCAAAAGTTGAGTTCTGATGGAAAAAACTGCGAATTAGAGACTGATTCCGATATTTCTAGGTAACGTCGACTTTTCTCAGCAAGATAACAAAATTTGAAAAAAGGGAATTATACTTTTGATAGGTCACTTTCAGGACATATCAATGTTAAATAACGTTTTATTGGGCTGCGAGTGAAGCATAATCGAAAAAATTATGCGGAATTAGGAGAAGCTCTGCTTTCATTACCATCATAGATTGTTGAAAATGCGCCCCATCCTCCGATCAATATTCGCTTAAAAGCTATTATGATGAAAAGCTTTCTTTATTCTTGTATTAAGATATGGCCGTCGTCCCATAATAAGTATTTGTCTATTGTTAACAGCATGTTCGGGATTTATTTGTGCATTCTTTCCACAAAAAGTTAAATTTGGATTTTGGCCAAGTTATTTAGCCTATACATTAGGTCGTTTTATATTGGCTTGTACAACCAGAGGCATTGGAGTTACAGGATTTGTACTAGGTGAATGCATGTTTCTATCTTTTAAAATGAAGTAAGGTCTAACCTTGTTCAAATTCACGTTCTCTTGTTTAGAGACAGTATTTTTACAATTTTTTCTGATATTATTCACAAAAAGAAATTTGGTTGTCTTTTACTTTTTTAGCAACTGAACTAGTTGGTCCAAAGAACAAATTTCTAGCAGCAATTATTATTCATTATTGCTTTCCACTTGGTCAATTGATTTTGGTTGGTTTTGCTTATTTCATTCGTGAATGGAGGCGCTTAACATTGACTCTATCGATATTTACAATACCGTTGATATTTTTGTATTTGTAAGTCAAAATTTCTAACTACAGTAATATGTTATTAACATATTTTATTGTATTATTCTAGTCCATTACCAGAATCAGTAAGATGGATGCTTAGTAAAGGACAATATCAACGAGCTGAAAAAGTACTCCGAAAAACTGCAAGAATAAATGGACGATCATTTGATGAGGAAGCATTTCAAAGGATGAAAGCTGAACAAGAAAAAGTAAGTCATAAGTGTTCCATAAAGGATGGCCGTGTCAGTTTCTCATCGATTGGCTTGAAACTTTTTTGAACAAGATTACTCGTACCATTATTTGCAGAAGCCTAAGCAGCGATTATAGTGCTAACCAGAAGCTGGGTAGAATAGACGTCGAATAACGACAAGTAGAAAAAAATAGTGTTTTTTTACAAGGGAGAAGCAGCGATTTTGTGGGCTTTGGATTTTCAAAGTCTGAAGGGAACTTTTTGAAACTTTTCGAATTTATTTCTGACTTTTTTGGGCTTTTCTTCTTTACTTTCTAAGTGCAAAGTCTATCAAAATTTAAAAAACTGAATTGTGAAACTTTGAAGTTTAAAAATTCAAAAGGTCTTAAAAGCCTAAAAGAGTCCAACTTAGTCTATTGAAGTCCAAAACACTGGTTTTTCCTTGGAACTATAGTCCAAAGCTCCATTTTCGACGACCGCCTAGTGGATACTAGTCTTTCTCGTTTGTGGATTCTTTCGAGCGGCTACCCGTGCGTTTATTAAATACCATCCAAATGCCTGTTTCACCGACTAATTTTTTAAAATACAACAAAAGAGTCCGATCGCGTTGAAAATTGGTTTAGGACTTTCTTGGATCCAAGTCCGCTGTTCCCACTGTTTTTTTCTAATAATTTAATCCTCTTTTCTGCAAACGGTCTAGACACATATATCCATATACAACATTCAATTGCATCAATTCGTACACGGAGAAAAAAAGACCGTGAAACTCATACGCGGTTTCTCGCAGTCAGTTTAGCATGGTTTTTTCACGGTTTTAGTTGTTCATGCTTTTGCTTCCTATGGTTCCAATATGACAGTTTTGCTTTGACGGTTTTAAAACCATCAGAAAAACCGTCTACTCTGAGGGAAGAAAAAAAGAACAGCTCTTCCAGGAATCGAACCGGGGACGCTTGGCGACTATGAATTATGAGAACAAGGTACAGACGACTGAACTGAGGAACTTACAGAAGGATGTCTTCGCTCTGCATACTCATCATGTCCTCGGGTAGACTTCTGTAAAAACTTCAACGCCTTACGAAAGCTGTCGCTGTTAAAATTTGTAAAACTCCTCGCTATCGCACATACATTTGAGATGTAACAGAATACACTAACCGTATAGGTGTGCACATATATCATATGATACCATGAAGTATATTCTATGACGAACGTCTAGAAACTTACGATTAGGAGAAGATATTCGCTGTAACCTTCCCCTCTACCTTCTAAGACTGTAGGCATCAGAACAATTTGAAGTCTAGTCGCAGCCTCAATAAAAAGAATTAAAAAACAAGAAAGTTCACAAAACAGGCATATTTTACAAAAAAATGCGCTGGAAGACGTGCCCAAAACTCACTCTACCAAACTTATGCTAGTTGATTAGGACGACTTTTTGACCTGCCAACGACTGAAACCGCACATGTTTTAATGAATTTTAAAGCTTTGACAACACCGTCAATTAAAAAGCATGAAAACGCTTTCACGGTTTTTCTCTTCACGCTTTTATTCTCATTGTTTTCCTTTGCAAAACTGTCGGTTCATGATATTATTTCTACAGTTCTGACCTTTACGATATTTTTTCATGGTTTTAACTGTACAGTTCTTAAACTGACGGTTTTACTTTAGGGTTTTTCTTCGATGGTTCGAAAGTGGACGGTTTTGTTTCTATTATTTTAACCTTTCCAGTTTTACTTCCATAGTTTTTCTGCTATACGTTCGCATTTTACGGTTTTCATAATGTTTTTACTTCATGATTCTTCTACACGGTTTTCTTTCGATGGTTATGGATTTTACGGTTTTTGTCCTACCGTGTAACTTTTGAAAAGTACTAACCTCTATCAGCACGCTTGTGCTTGTGTGCAAAAAAGTCCGTTCTAGTGTTCAATTTGTTTAAAGCTGCATACAATTTCTTAAATCATTGTGGTGAATTTTACCAAACCTATATTCTGACGTTCGACATTGATCTTTTTTTTTTAAAGTAAATCAAGCTAATGCAGTTTTGGAGACAAATGCTTGTTTTTAAAAACCAGGTTGTTGATTATTCGGGCTTAACATATCATTCCAATAAGTTCTACCCAGTCAGTCACGTATGTGTTTTGAAAATTCGTTTTAACGTGGTTTTAGCATTTATAGAACGCGAGAATATACAGTTTCACCATGAATACGGCGAATTTCTTGAACTTTAAATATACGCCTTAATCAAAACTGTGTTTTTGCCATCAATAATTCGTGAGAAATGCGTGTATTTAAAAACGCGTTTTCAGTCGCAACAGACTTCAAGACTCGTGAAGAGCATCGAATTTTTCGCGTTTAAGACTCAATTGAAACGAATTTAACGCGTTTTGGCTAGAAATGAAGTTTGAAAAACGCGTTTCACTTTTTCAAAATTTATAAGATAGTGTATTTGACATGTAAAACTCAATTTACAGACTGAAGTCTCGAAATTAGGCATTTCTATAACAAATAATGAGTGAAAAATGCGTTTTTAACGCAATGCAACGCGAGATTGGCTCAAGAACCGCGGAAAAACGATTTATTCTGTAAAAAGCGCGTAAAAACGCGAGTTTAGCTTTAAAATATCTCGCGAAACTCTGTTTATGAAAAATTTAGCGCGCTTAACGCAACCTATGATTACGTCAAACGCGATTCTCGCGCTTTTTTTTTCAAGAAAATTTCTCGCGGTGAATTTTTCGTAAACAGAGTTTCGCACGATATTTTGAAGCTAAAACCGCGTTAAAACGAATTTACAGAACATGTAGGCGACTGACTGAGTGAAGAGAAAAGGCACGGACAACCGTATTTCATCGCACTTCAACATTTACATCTGTGAGTCGAAAAACTCATCGAATTAATTTTTAACACAATAGACATTGAAGAAACGGACTGTTACAACGTTTCTCGTTGTTCATCATCCATATTTTTCGGACTTAAGTCATTTGCAGAGAATTGTACAGAGTGTCGTTTTAATAAGAAAAATTCAAGTCAAAACGACGAAGACAGGACAAGATCTTCATGAAATATGGACATTACTATTCTTAAAGTCCATTATTTGATGTGCAGATTTCTTGCTGCGAACATTCTAAAGAATATACTTATCTTTTACTAGAACACAACTAATGCAGCACATCAAATCGGTTTATTATCGTTGTTTCGATCAAAAATAATGTTTATCATATCTATCAATTTGTTTTTTCAATGGTATACTCTTTAAATGTTCTTTCATACAAAAAGAGCCTATTGCTCGGTGTTGTTCAGGTTTGTTCAAAATTTAGTATACTATGGAGTTTCACAGAATACTGGATCATGGGGTTTCGATCCTTACTGTAAGTGAATGAAAAAGAAAATCTTACAAATCTTTCTGTTTGCTATCCAATTTTTATGTTTAGTATCATTTACAATTTCGGCTTGCGTGGAAATACTATCTTATTTAGTTTTACATTTAATATTAAATCGTATTGGACGAAAACTACCATATTTTACGGCTGCATTTTGCTTTGCCCTTGTTGCATTATTAACAATTCCGATACAAAATAGTCAAAGTAAATGTGAGACTTGCTTATCCTGGAAATTGTAATGTGACATTATTCTCTTTTAGATGAACGAATTTTAACATTTATAATGAATGTATTGTTGAAATTTTTCGCATCTGGTAGTTATGGAATTATTTATATTTATGCAAACGAATTATTCCCTACTCGAATACGAAATACAGGAATGGGCATGTGTTCAATGATTGCACGTAAATGTTTTTTTTTTTAAAGTAGACTTTAGAAATATTCCAAAACATTTAGGGATTGGAGCAATAGTAGGAACAACAAGTAATGATATGTTGGTATGTATTATAGGTTTTTTGTTTGCGTGTGCTTTCATATGTTTCATATTCTCTAATGTATAGTAGGACAAATTTTTATTTTGACATAAAGATTAATTATCAACCTATGATTGATTCTAACAAAAGGTTATTCTTTTCTTAATGAAATTTCTAACATTAGATTTCTTCTACCCTCATGATCGATTCTTACAAAAAGAAACTTATAAGACTCCGTCGTATAAGAATCTGATTAGATTCTTTTGTAAGAAGTCCGCACGAAAGTGACAAGAATTTAATAAACAGAAGATAAGGAACAGTTAAGAATCCTGCAAGAATTCGACAAGAAAAAGGCAAGAACTGAAGAAAACTTCCAATGTTTTTTTCCCTTCCTTAGTTAGTTGTATAGTACAGTAGTGTGTAAGAGGTCGCGAGGCATTTTCAAAGCGACCAGTCTTACCTACCTTGAAGAAACTTTGAAAAATTTTCAAGAAATCAGTAGTTCTTATATAGTATGTGCTTCCGCAAAATAAAACGGCGATTGGCTTTTAGTAAGAATTTCATAAGAAAGTGATAGAAGCGTTTTATCAAAGTCATAGCTCAGTCTTATTTAAATGTTACCGGATTCGTATGAAACTCTTGCCATTTTTGTGCGGGCTTCTTATGTAAGAGTCCGATAAGGCTCGGATAAGATTTTTACCAGAAATAATGAACAATGTTTGTCTAGGGTAAGGCTTGAAAATCTAAGAAAAATGACTTTGAACCGCAAACGTTTTTTGCAAGGAGTAGATGAAACAACAAAACTCTCCAGTATCCACGAAATTTCGATTTCATCACATCTGAGTTCTCTTCAAAATTCATTCGAATGGTTTCTTAGCAATTTCTGAGGCAGGAACAGATTCTGTTTCTGAGGCAGGAACCACTGGAGGATTGGAGAAACTTCCTGTTGACCATCGTTTGCCTGCGGCTAGGCGACGAGTCCTCTGCTTTCAGCTTGTTACTGGCATAATAAGAAGTTCGAGAAAACGTTGGAAATCAAAGAACTCAAATACGACCGAAAAACCAAAAATTTAAAAGCTTGACTCATAAGTAAAATAATTGCTGCTTTAGCACAGCTGCTGTTAACAACAGACAAAAGATGGGGCTCTGTTCTAGAACCCTGTAGTCAAGCACCCCATAACGATGTCTCAAAACTGACTTTACATTGAGTCAGAACGTCGAAAAACTCTCCAAAGATCCTTTGAATACCTTGAAAAATTCTAAAACCGATTTCATTGGATTCTACATACTTTTTTACCTATGTACATTTCATTTTATCAGGGTTTGAGCACAGAATTCGCTAATAATTCGATATTCTTTTCTTTAGGTCTCTGTCACCCTTACTGATTCGTTTTTGTCGTTGATGGCGTTTCTCAACAACGAGATGGAAGTTAGCAAAAGTAAAGCATAGCTTTGTAGCCCGTCAAATGGCGATTCGAATGAGATATAATTGAAGGATATAACTTTGAAAACCAGGGACTTGAAAGCTTCACCGTAAAGGTCAAACTGACTCAGGGTGGCTCAAGGAGGGTCTGAATTTCTGGCCTGAGCCCGTCATATGAGGTCAAGCTCTGAATAACTTGTGTAGACCCACTGCGACGTGCGGAATCCGAATATGAAAGAATTATCTGCTAAAAGTGCAAGAGAGAAGAACTAAATGCCATTTTATGTGGAATATCGAATTTTTGCAAACTGAACTAAGTATGTCAAGGTTTTTTCCACGAAGGAAAGGGCTAGAATTTTTTTAAAGGTGATATTCGTCATCATCATTTCAAGGGCTATCGACTGATGTATGTTTCAAACAGATCTATCATCTGCTGAAGCTTTGAATTACCCGCGCCTTAATATTTAACTACAGTGAAACCTTTATCAGTGAACACCTCTGTAAAGTGAACACCTCCTCAGGTCCGACGGAGCGATTTTTGCTGGAAATGCACCTCTCTAATGAAAACATCTTTGTATTCTGAACATGAACACTTCTTTCTCAGTCCCTCCTGCTATTATAACCTTTCTAATGTGAACATGGGTGCAATGTTTCTCTCTCTACTGTTTATCATCTGTGTCTTTTGTACTAATACTAACTACGCTGACCACCGTACGTATGAAAAAAAGTTAATGCATTAGAATCCATATTAGCTGATGTTCATATTGGTTCAAAAACAAAAAGACAAACAAGATTAGAGGATTTTTTTGAAAAAAATTAAGTTTTGTGTTGTAATTGAATAATATTTAAATAAAAAAGTATATTTAAATGAAAAGAGATGAACAATATAAGCTCCTACTTAATTCAGGACTAGTGTACCGGGTGTCCGGAAATTCATTGACCAAAAAGAAAATTAAATATCTCCACCATTTCTCGACCAAACTTCAAGATTGTTTTTTTGTTTGATAGAGAAACGTTTCAATTTCTATTTCATACGATTGGAACCTCTTGTTAATATTTGAAAAAATGTTTGGATCTATAATAGTGGAATTCAGATATTTTCAGACTCTGTTTTAGTAAATTATGTACTGCAAAACTTTTCGAAGAGAACACAAATAATTTTTAATATTAAAGTAAAGTAGATAATGAAGGCTTTAATATAACGAAATAATTATTTACATTTGCTTAAAAATGACCGGTTGGTGTGGATTTCTTCAGCCATTGTTATTCCATACTAGCATCTGGAAAAGTGCAAAAAAAGTAATAAAAATATTTTTCAGCTAAAGCTAACTAATAAAAGGAAACACTTTGAGTGGAATTCTATACAAAGAAGATAGCCCTA